TCAGTATTACATCTGTATTTTAGGGGAAAAACCAACTCTTCTCTTTCCTGCTTGTATGATAGTGGCTTGAGTTTTTGTTTTTGTTTTGGTGTTCAACGCAGTTAACTTTTTCATGCCGCCTCTTGAAACTTTGAACAGAAACTATTAAAGCTGACTTGGCAGAAAATGATGGTTTTTGTGCTTTTGGTAGTTATCGATAACCCCGACCCGCAGAAATGGCGTCTTAGATAATCACAGCAGCCTGAACGAAGGAATCCATCGCATCGATATACATTGAATGGAGATGGCTTGTCATGCCCGTCATAACCCGTAGCAAGATGTGTTATAGGACAGGAAGTCTAGCAGAAACTATATTTTATTCCTATCACATCTGATCATCATATGAATTTTATATCGACGGCCTCTGGTAGCGACTTGCCTAATTTGGTGAATATTCCACGTGTACAGTAAAGGCAACTATATAAATATATCAAATATAGGCCTATTGAGCCTAGGACCGTCATGAAATGCAATGTCTAGCATACAATTCAATTGCCAATTGTAAGGTTGTCTCACCCCCTTCTCTTTCCCCTCTCACGCTCTTTCCATTTCTCTCAAGTTAGCTCGCAGCTTTTCTGCCTGATGAAACTATTTTATAACGACAATATATGGTAGCGTCAAGTTTACTATATTTAAATATATTTCTCATATGCACAAGCTGCCCGTGAATTTTCACGACACTAATTTATGGGTTTACATGTATAGTACAAAAATATTACATATTTCGATGTTCAATATATCACAATAATTGTATTAACCACGTATTTAAAAGTATATTTCAATTTGAAATATCATGGCACGAGCAAAATTTTGAATTTTAAAGGTGAATATATGTTATAGGGAGCAACAAAATGCATGTTCTGTATGTTAAATAAAATTCTGGGTACATTTGTAATCCATTGGAATGAGGCCCTCCCGATTACATGCGCCAAGCTAAGACATTAGGGAGTTTTCACAAACTCATTGCGGACGGAGATTCTGCGGTTCGTGTGCAAAATCGAGAAGCTACTATAGTAACAGCGGAGTGACCGTTGAGGTACTGAAATCCAGAACGGGTTTTGGCCAAATCTACGGGCGTTCTCAATGACGCACCAAGTAAATCAAGTGCCTCGATACAAACTATTTCATTCACCTGATAAGAATAAGAGTATTTAAATAGACAGAATTCAATCTGCATACATTAGTTGTTGCCACACTTAAAACATGCAGTTTGCATTCTGACTATTGCGAATAGTAGACAGGTGAATGAAACAATTTGTATCGGGGAACTTCACAAAGACTCATGTAATCAATTTGATTACATTACGAAAATGGCCTATTCCCTGCCACGCAATACAGTACAGGCGGGATTACACGACTAGCACAACTTGTCTCGACTCATACCCCATTCACAGTGGCCTCAAACACCGCGACAGCAGCGGGACTGTCCCGCTGCTGTCGCGGTGTTGTCTTCAGTGTGAAGGCTCGGACCCGTTATAAACTATCGCGGGATAACACCGCCTAGCGAGAACGCCGACACAAACTATCGCTAGGGACGCCTAGCTACAGCAGCGGGACAGTCCCGCTGCTGTCGCGGTGTTTACTCAGTGTGAAGGCTCTCCGCTATAACACCGCGACAAACACGTGTGATTTGTTTACTTACCTATCACTGACCTCTTTTCTACAGCAATGGGGAACATAAAGTGAAATAGAAATAAAGTAACCAGTGGATTCAAATTGATTTTATTATTATGTAGGTATTATAATTATCCAAATAAAAATATTTCACACTTCAAAAAATTAAAATATTCTGACTGGAAGCAATAAAAATGCTAGTTTTTTAAAAAGTAATATGATCGAGGATACAAAAAGCAACTTGACATGTTTACCGCGCAATTTCAAGCAAGTATTTCCGGTCATATCGGGGTCACTCGCGGGTCATGAGCCATGCATACACGTGTTTGTTACGGAGGTAATAAAAATCACCCGCTGCAGCGTGAATGGGTACATGATATTTATCCCGCTGCTGCAGCGGGATAACTTTTCTACTGTGAATGCATTTGTAGCGGTGTTATGGCGGTGTCGCCGCTCCGCTACAACGCCGCTACAAATTTCAAAACCACTGTGAATGGGGTATAAGCCACAAAACGGCTCTTTATCAAATTTCAACAATTTATCATCAAGTTTTAAAACAATTCATGTTATAGGCCTGCCCATATTCATGTTGTTATAGTTCAGAATCAATAAACGAAAGACAAAAAACTCACCGAAGAGCCGTTCGCGTCAGAGGCAAATGTAGGGGGGGGGGATTAGGGGGTTTAAATCCCCCTTGGGCTGCCCCCCCCCCCCCAAAAAAAAGGAAAACTTTTTTTGTGTGTGCCTTCTACCCCCCCCCCCCCCCGAAATATTGGTTGGCACTTTTTTCAAATGAAAACAATTACGTGCTTACTGCCCCCTACCCCCCCTTTCCTCCTAACCCCCCCCCCCCCCCCGTAGCAAAAAGCTAGATCCGCCCCTGCGCGTTGAAATTCCTAAAACCATTTTTAATACAAGCTCGCTGATCGGCTTTTTATTTACTAATGTATGCAGATTGGATTCTGTCTATTTAAATACTCTTATTCTTATCAGGTGAATGAAATAGTTTGTATCGAGGCACTTGATTTACTTGGTGCGTCATTGAGAACGCCCGTAGATTTGGCCAAAAACCGTTCTGGATTTCAGTACCTCAGCGGTCACCGCGCTGTTACTATAGTAGCTTCTCGATTTTGCACACGAACCGCAGATTCTCCCCGTCCGCAATGAGCTTTCGAAATACCCCTAATGTTTGTCGAACTGGCAACAACTAATGTATGCAGTTTGGATTCCGTCTATTGAAATACTATTATTCTTACCAGGAGATTGAAATAGTTTCTATCGAGGCACTTCACAAAGACATATGCATTGAATTTGGTTACATAACGAAAATTGCCTCTTGGCATTGCAAATGCAATACCTACGTACTATACGCACTATAAACACGACGGACAAAGAAACAGTACAAAATATAAAGTTCCTCATTCTACCCTCAACAATTGATGTGGTAGACAAAGGAACATCCCTTTACTGCTATTATGTAAACATGTGCAGAACAGGTGAATATGCATGTGACACCTGTTCTACACATTTTTACGTAATAGCAGTGAAGGGATGTTCCTTTGTCTAACACAGTATTTGTTGAGGGTAGAATGAGGAACTGTATATTTTGTCCTCTTTCTTTGTCCGTCATGTTCACAGTGCCGTACCCGTTCACCGAAAAGCGAAACCGCGTCTTGTAACGAGGGCGGTCTGTGTCCGATGGCCGTAATCCTGAGTGCTCCTGAGCAGAAGGTCTGAGTAGAAGGTCTGTCCGTCGCTGAGCGAAAACTCGCTATTGCAAACAATGAGTACGCACAGGGCTGAGGGGTGCGCAGTCTAACTAACTTTAGCACGCGTTATACAGTGCCCAAAACGGGGTTACGTTGCACGCTCGTGCACATATAGAAATATCCCATACGGCGTTCAAGTATAAGAAAATATGTGAACCGACAACTGCCTGAGTGATGCTATATTTCACAGAGGCCGTCTGCTGAGGTTAATGGTTAATATAATGGCACGAGGGACATTTTATATTTTAAGGTGATTATAATATGTTATACTAAATGCATGCAGTATTTTCAATATTAAATTGAGGGTATTTTCGACCTCTTCCCTTGCTCCCTTGGAGCCGAGCCATGCGCGCTGCTCAAAAAATGGAGTATAATATGCAAGGAAGTTTGCAACTAAAGTTGCAAACCATACAGAGACTCCTAATAAATTGCGTTACTTATTAATTAATTATTTCATTACAAATCTTTATTCTCAGTTTTCTTATGAAGACTATAACTGATTTTCTTATAAAGTTGAAGATATTAATGGCGTATATATTCAATACTGAATAAACGCCATAAAACACCTACCAACAACAACAACAATATGTAAGGAAGAGAGGTGCGCCGATAATTCTCTTTTGTATGCGTTATTTTATATAATTTATTTAAAATGTTACAGAGTAAATTTACAGAACACATGATACTTTCATTTTTGTACCCAAATCCTTATTGTTTTATTCATTATTTCAACACTGATGACGTAATTATTGTCGTTTAACCTAATATTTACATGTAAGTCTGCATTATTGTCATACATTTTGTCTTAAATGATATTTTACCCCCCCCCCCCCCCCCCCCCCTCTTGAGTTTTTTTTTATGTGTATGTTTTTCTGGAAACCCCCCCCCCCCCCCTTTTTTTGAGTGTTGATTGATGACCTAAAAAAGATGACCTAAAAATGGAGAAAAAACCGATATATGTCTTACAGTGTCTAATCTACAAGTTGATTGAGATCAGTGGTTTGAAGATAAGTTTAATCATAGGACATGTCCATTGAATTAAAAAATGGTTTAGAAAAACAGTTGCGTTTGAATGGTTATAGAATCGGCATTAATCGTCATTGACCTGAGATCGTATGGAACTATAGAGCATTTTAATTTACTTGCAGAAGTTATGACCGCCATTAATAATTAAATTTTACATCACTTTCAGTTTTCCATCGTACTGAAGCGGGAGAATCCTTTTCGAACGTGGTGATTTGTTACCACTAAAAATACGGCTCTCATTCGATAATCTTTTATTTCAGCACACTTGTGTACATCCTTACGAATGACGGATAAGTGCATTATCAACAACTGAACCCCTTCTCATAAGTGTCTAATTATATCGTTTATCTTATGTCTATTTTACCCACAGTTGTCATGTCCATATATTCATGGTAATAATCCTGTGATATGTTTTTGTTTCACGGCAGCCTCCAGTCTTTTACTTAAACTCTTAGAAACTTCAGGAGTTTTTTGAGGTGCAGTTTTATTTATGTGCACACTAGATAGTGTTTTTCCATCGTTTTCGCTCGAGGCTATGTCGGTGTTGTCCTCTCACGGGAGAAGATATCCATCAATGTCCACATGTTTCCCCGCTGAAGGCGTTTGGTAGACAGTTTTCATGTCGATGTACTCATGATTATTCGATTTATCGTCACGAAATTGATCAGCCGTTGCTGTCACTCTATCATCCGATAATGCATCCCTGGTCGGAAGGATATATCCATCGAGATCAAAGTCTTTTTCATTGTCAGGTGTTTCATAAACGGTATTCATGTCCATGTATTTATGTGCTTCTCCTTTTGCGATGTATTGCGAGAGATTCAGATCTGCTTTCACGTCATCATCAGTTGCTATTTTTGATTCATAATCGTGATGAAGCATATCTGATTTTCGTCTATCCGGTAACCGAGGTGGGGCGTTCAGATCTTGATAAACTGGGTTAAGCGAAATAGCTTGCAGTGAGCCAATATTCGTTACATCCATATAAATATCGGCGTTTACATTTTTCGCAGCCCTTCTTTTTCTTATTCTATGAAGACAGTACAAGCAGGACAATATCAGAATGATGGTAAACAATAAAACGCAAAGCCCAAGTAGAAATATCTTTGGAAGATCTGATAACAGACTAGGTCTTGTATTCAAGTTCAGATCTTCAATATTAGTCGGGATTTCCTGATTGCGGGAAATGTTCTGCGTACTTAACGATACTACTGTAATGTCGTCAGCAGCTGTCATCGGATCGTCAGTTGTAGGTGTCGTAACATCAGGCGCGACTAAATGGGAATAGGCAGCCATATCTATGACAAAAGTGGAACATCAGATAAATATCATAAATAAACAATTCACATAAAGACAATTCATATTTTCAAAATATATACGGGAAAAAAATAATAACATGGGCTATGATAATTATTATTATAAAGATATGAAAGCGAAGGTGTGTATAAAGTTGTGAATGAAGTTAAGAGAAAGTTAGTAACTTTTTGAAGTAATTAAATCCTTTATTTCTCGTCTTTGCGCTCATTCCAACTTGAATCGTAGCTGCTTAAAATAGTGCATACGATTCCGTTGCCCTGTATACGAATATTTATCTTTATAATGAATTTCTTAAATAATTAATTACCTTTTTCCTTGTAAGCAATTCATTCATAATTGGATTCAAAACGTGTCAAAATTAGTAAGGTCACTTTGAAAGGTTAAATGAAAAATGATGACTGGATGCAATGTGCGTAAAATAGTAATATTGTACCTCCTATGAGACACGTGACCCCAGCGTCTTCGTTATGTTGGCAGTTGTGCACTCCAAATCCTAGATGTGCGCAGTCCGCAAGATTGTTTTCCATTCCATTGCACCCGACATGTGACAGGAGAATTTCTTCGTACCCCTCGCCAAACTGGGCTGAACCTGGGGCAGTCGAGGCGTTGCTGAATCCTAGCATTCTGCATACGACCTTTGCATCTCGCAAATCCCAACGATCGTCGCAAACTGTTCCCCAGGTGCCGTTATATCTGATCTCCACTCTGCCTTCAGAACTGTTGGATCCACCCACGAGCCGTACTCCAACAGAGTTTGGATGGGCTAAAACGAAAACAAAATTGATTACTTTTAGTATAGCCACAATTGTCATTCCATTTCCTTTTCTAGTTCATATAATCACTTGGGTATGGTTTCAAAGTCAGTCAATCTTTTATTAGAGTTGCGGAGTTTTTTTAATAATCGTATCATCTACTATATATATATATATATATATATATATATGTTTAATCTCCTATCGGAGACATCCCTACTAGCCTTTGCCGTAATAGGGGAGACGTGTCGGCATTTAGTGAAAATGTCCATTGTGCCAATCATGACTGTAAAACGCATATTTTAAGGACCATTACTACACTAGTGCCATTTTTTAAAAATTGTAGCCACTCATACTTGCACCTTCTTTACCTTGTGCAAACAGTGTCTTTTCGGTGAGAATGTCAGTGGGACGCCTAAAATTAGCATGACTGGGGGACGCCTTAAAACAGCCAAACAATCTTTACCGGGTGATTAGGAATCTACTCTTGCGCCTGACTATACCATAAAAAGGTGTGAACACAATATCATTTTACTGAAAGTATTAAAAAATACCTCCCGAGTAACAGATGGCACCAACATCCTCTTCATGTCCGCAGAAATTGACACCTAACCCAAGATGTGCACAGTCCGCAAGATTTGCCTCCGTTCCGTCACAACCAACAAGATTGAGAATTATATCCCCAGATCCCTGACCGAACCTTGCAGATGTCGGTGCGTCCAAGGCTCCCTCAAACCCCAGCATTCTGCAGACGACCCTCGCGTCTCTAAGATCCCAGCCATTTTCACAGATGGTTCCCCAGGATCCATCGTAGAAGACCTCCACTCTTCCTTCAGCTTTGCTGGATCCATCGACGAGCCTTATTTCGAAAGGATTTGGATGGGCTGAGGCAAAGGAAGTCAGTAATTAATAATGCAATCAAAACCAAGGAAATGTGAAATAGCACACAAAATGAAATAGATGGCACAAGGCAGTTATGTATATGTTATTTGTGAAGTTATTGCAGTAGAAAGTTTGGATGGTTATAATATGATTCTTAAGCTGAAGTATTGGTCTCTTCATTGATTAAGCCGGGAGCAAAATGGTGGAATCAGTAGACTTATTATAAACATGTTATTTTTTGAACATTTCATTCTCTCAAGATCTTTCACGACTGACATTAATGGATAATAAGTAAACTTTTAATATAATGACATATCAGGACTGCATGTGACGGTTAAACATACCTCTATTGTAACAAATAGCGCCCGCATCTTCATCATGTCCACAGTAATGTACTCCAATCCCTCGATGAATACATTCTGCTACGTTTACTTCTGTTCCGTCACATCCGACGACATCTAGAATTATACGACCAGAGCCCTGACCAAACCTAGCAGATCCCGGTGCGTCCAAGGCTCCATCGAACCCCAGCATTGTACAAACCACCCTCGCGTCTCTCAGATCCCAGCTGTCATCACAGATAGTTCCCCAGGATCCATCGTGCATAAGTTCTACTCTGCCTTCAGCATCGTTAGACCCATCGACAAGACGAACTTTAAAGGGGTCTGGATGGACTACAAGGGAGTAAGAACTAAATTGTTTTTTTATAGATGATATCTTCACAAATTTCGACATATGTTAGATGAAAAGTAAAACGGATTTAAAATCGAGCCATCTTTCTGCTATTGATTGCATATAGGTATCCTAACAATACTACCTATTTATTAACTCCATATTCGAATTGGTGTGTAGACGTAAAGAAAAGCAACACCATTGTGCCTTAATCCAATGATTTATAGAAGTCGGAAACATCTTATTCTAACACGATTACTATGCACGATCTGTTACAATACCTGCCTTCTTATAAATCGACCAAATGAAAACATATTGTACAATGATAATAATTATCTCTTTTGTGAAAGATTCATCCCCTTAGCAAAATGGTTTCTTTAGTTATAAATAAATTCATTAAGAGGCAAAAAGGAGATTTTTAAAGTCACTTATAAAAAGATATTCTGATGTTCGCTCTCATTAAAACTTGTTCTCGGATAGGTGTACTACTAGTTTATAATGTCTAGCAATCATACCTCCTGAGTAACACATGGCTCCTGCATCACTTGTATGACTGCATGAGTAACGTGCATTCCCGGAATAACCACATTCTGCAAGGTTGTCTTCTGTTCCATCACAGTTGACCCTATCTAGAAGAATACGACCAGAGCCCTGACCAAACCTAGCAGATCCCGGTGCGTCCAAGGCTCCATCAAACCCCAGCATTCTGCAGACCACCCTCGCGTCTCTCAGATCCCAGCCAACACCACAAACAGTTCCCCATGATCCGTTTTGCAAGACCTCTACCCTGCCCTTAGCACTCTCAGATCCATTGACAAGCCGAACTTGGAATGGGTTCGGATGGGCTATATAATGAAAATATGTTAAAACGAACATCAGTTCATGTTTTTGTTTACGTGATTCGAATACATATTCTTCGTGAATTTGGAATGGTATGGACAAAAAAAAATTGTCAATCTCAATAGGATATTCCTACGTTTCATTTCATTTATTCATTTTTTTATTGAAGGGGGAGATTTTCGGAAATATTTTATGAACGTAATTAAAGTAAGAAGAGTGTGACAATTCTGAGAACATTACGCGCGTACCAAATTTTGCAAACGTTTACTAAAAAAGCCTCGAGTCCATACCTCCTAAATAACATACGGCACATGCGTCCATGTGATGTCCGCACGGAATGCTGGCCCCAAAGTATGGACAGTCGGTCAGCCTGTCTTCTGTTCCCCAGCAGTCGACACGAAGAACATCACCAGCACCTTGACCAAACCTTGCTGATCGTGACGCAGCCAGGGCACCGTCGAACCACAGCATCTTGCAAACCACTCTTGCATATCTTAGATCCCACGAGGCACCACAGACAGTGCGCCAGAATTCACTATACAAGAACTACATTCTTCCTTCAGCATCATTGGAGCCATTCACGAGACGATATTATGGTGGAAAAGTGTCTAAGGTGCTATTTGTATCCGCTACCAATTTAGCAAGAAAAGTTAGCTTGGTTAGATAAAGCGTTTTAATATGTCTCTGAAATCAGAAACAGCTCCGATTCTCCCTCTTTTAAATTGAATAGTGGATTAATTTTTGACGAGTGATATTGTTCAACCGTCAGTGTATGGTATCGTACTCCTTGGTATATCCTTGAAAATGTCAATTTAGAACAATGTTCTTGGAGACAGGTTCGTTTTCCCCAAAAGCCGGACTGCTATCAGAAAGGACGGAATATGGAAAAGCAGATTTTCTTGTTATACTACAAAGGTTTGAGAAATATTCTTAAGAGTTTTTGGAGGAATAAACTCCGATTCTTTAAAAAAAAAAAAAGTTATAAAGCTATAACAAGGATAACTCTTTTTCCTCCAGTTAGAAAGTGGTTCACGTCTATTTCCAATTGTACGGCTAAATAAACAACAATGTTTATGTAAAACCCCATTATGACATACAAAGACGGCCACTGTCTTGTCCTTAAGCTGGTGAATATTAGTGGAAAGCAGATATTTACTTAAAATATAGATCCACACATTTCAGAGAAAATTCGACAAATGTTAAAGGTTAAATGTATTAAAGCTGCGGCGATCAAACGCGTATTACTAATTCGACATACGTCGCGAGTACATTTGTTCTGTATTTAAAAGAAAATTATTCCGGAAAAAAATGTCCTACATTTGTGTTCACGCCTATTGGTGAAATGTATCTAATATATTCATATTCAACACTAAAAGTGTAAGAAATCATTTTAACTTTCTTTATGTTTTTACTTTCACAAACATGAATAGAGGTTTGTTTTTTAAAAGATATTTTATTGTTCATTCAATTTACAAAAAAATAATAACAGATTGATAATGTATAATTTAACATAACATTACAAGATATTAAAGTCACATTACTCCGACATAAATTCAATTCAATTCAATTCAAGTTTATAAATGAAACATATATCAAATCGCACCATTTTTACATCTCGTCATCAAACTTACAAATGCATAAAAAAGCATATATACTTGTGGTCACTTATTATCACATAAACATAACAGAATTAATATAGTATTACAAGATAATACAGCTCCATTACCCCAACATAAAAGAAATATATGATAACAATTCGCACCTTTCCGTCTTCTCGTTATCAAACTATTACAAATGCTCAAGAAATCATATATACGATCAGTTACTAATTAGCACAGAATCATGTACAGTAGGAAGTTATTACTCATCTATAACAATATAACATGTTATGCACTGGATGAACATTTCAAAAAGAGTTTTACGCACACGCACACACACACCCCCCCCCCCCAACACACAAACACATATACACATGCATGCACACACACGCACGCATATACTCTCCAATACACACCTACACAAGATATTTCCGCAAAATCAATGCATGAATATACCCTTTTCATTTATTTGGGGAAAATGAGTGTACACTATCGTCCGAATGAGAACCTATGACATAGTATATGTGACCCGGCACCACAAAACCACCAAAAAGTCGCAAAAAAAATATTTTCCTGATTTCATCTGATTATGAAAGAAGAAGTTCTCCTCATTAAAATGGTATATTACTTGTCCAAATTGAAGCTTCCTAACCCTTTCAATTTAGTGAATGAAAAGAGCTGGTGAGGGAGGTTACTGGTATTAAATTGTGAGAAAGAGAGCTTTAAAGTTTGGGGCTATTCAAGCATGCGGAGCAAGCAAAACACAGGGAAATCAATAGAAGGGTGAATCAAAAGGCCATAGCAACCACTATGAAGAGATTTTCAGATTAGGCTGAAATTTGGCATGATGGTCAAACATAGTCTGTTCATTATGTTTCTGAGGTTTCAATGTGTGGACTTAAGTCTTTCAAAAGTTATTATGTTGTAAATGTATAGAGTTGTAATTGGACAGATTAAGCGAACTGCAACATAGTGCCGAGACACCTGCACTAGACAATGCCTATTCATGGTGGACCCGGAGTCTTTTTGTTCCCCCTTACATAACACTGCTGGAACTCGGATGTGAAAGCGGATACAAACAAAATGGCGCGCCGCACTGATTGCTATAACGGACCAATCACAGCCCGCGTAGCACGACCCGTTAGCAACGACCGACCATTTCCGGACTACGATAATTTCGCTCGGGAAAAGTGATCAAATTTTGGAAGAGACCGAAGGCTGTGCGAAAAAAACTGGTCTAGAAAAACCGTTTAAAACACATCTTCTACTATGTTTTAGACTTCCAAATTTTGATACTAGGTACAGAAAAGACCACTCTTTCAGAAAATGCAAAAAAACAAAAATCTATTTTTTTTCACCTAAATTGACATTTTAGCTGATTACGGAGAATCGCTGGTTGCGACTTTTTGTTGGTTTTGTGGTGCCGGGTCACATATGTATTTCCATGCATTTTTTTTTTTATATGCCGAAATAATAAATTGATTGTGGGACAGAGATTGAAAAACATGGAAGTCTTTTTTGGAAAATCAATTGGTTAACATAATACATATATATATTTCGTGTTGAAGTGTACCACTCCATTTATATAACCTCACAGACAAGCTGGTGATAACTATACATCGCTCTGTTCTAGTGCGGTCTCGAAATGATCAAATTATTTAGTTCGAGATTATCAGTAATTAACTCTACAGGCGTTACAATAAAGTGTCAATAAACTGACGATTGTAATATCCTTGGATTTCAAACAGTATTTACAGGCACGTTTACATCGTCAAAAAAATGACACTTCGTTTAGTACATCATAGTGAGTGCCTCACTATCATAGTATCTGATTACCATATTTTCAAAATACATCTTTACTGGTCTTTCCTTTGTGAGTATTCGTCTAAAGTTCCATATTTTCTATGTAGACCGATTGATGATCCTCGTCCATCTAAATTTCATCTCAATTATCAACGTCTGTCCAACATTCGGTTTGGACGAAATAATTGTTAAACTTCGTAATGTTTGGTATCTAAAAGAAAGTTCAATATCAAGAACTATGTCCCCCATTGTTGTCCCTTTTTTAATAAAGGCACGTTCAAATATGAAGTGACAAAGCATTATTGTTTTGATATAATGACGTAAAGAGCCGTACTTTTACACTCTAACACGTGACAAATATGCAGCTATTATATTTTTTGCATCGGTTTACCGCGCGATATCTGACCAAGTCTTAGGCGATTGTGATGTTAGTGTAATTAGGAATAGTATCGTATTGCCTATCTTGCGATGACCTTGCCACTTTGACTTTATCATCACCAAGTGAGACGCCAGTTACTGCCATTTTAGCATTCGTCGGAACTCTAGCCTGGTGTGTTGAGATTGTAGAATCATGATTAAAGTCAGGATAATTGTCTTTATCTGCAGAAGGCTCTTCATAAACAGTTGTCATGTCCATGTATTCATGCAGCTCAGTAGCTGTACTGCCTTTTGTTACGAAGGCATGTCCTACATCTTTCGCATATGGACAGTTTGTCCGGGATCCTTGAGTTACAGATGGATCCCTGTCTATGCCTACATCCGTATCTGAGTTGATATCCATATACTCGTGAGGGTAATTTCCTCGAGTATGTTTCGGTTCTCTGCTGACACTTGCTTTCTTGTAACACCGTTGGACATTAGTTACATTTAAAGAAATTTCGTTTCCTGAACCTGTAACGCCAGGTAGGAGATACCCGTCAGTGTCCGTGTATGTAACTCCTTGAGGCTCTTGATAAACAGACTTGATGTCCATGTATTCATGAATCCCACCTTGTCCGCTGGATTGTAGTGTCCCTTTCAAACTTCCTTTATTGTCAATATCGGGTAAGCAAGTTGATATAGCTCTCAAATTCGGGGTGACTTCGTTTTTGGAGGATGTAACGCTGGGAGAAGATGGTTATTAACATCCTTGTCGGCGTCTACTGATGTCACACCAGGTAGGAGATAACCGTCAACATCAAAGTCCAAACCGGATGAAGGCTTTTGATAAACAACATTCATGTCCATGTACTTATGATCTATATCTTGTATATTGGTGTGTGTTGCTCTCGTCATTTTGACATCATTCTCTGTTATATTGGCAGCCGTCGATACTATTGTTGATGTAAATTCAGACTTTGAAGCTGTTGAAGTTGGAAGAAGATAACCGTCAATGTCTCTGTGTGTGTCAATTGGAGGCGTTTGGTTAATAGTATTTATTCGCGACATCATGCGAAATTCAGACTTTAATCCAGATTTCGTTGCCCTCCTAGTTGAAAGATAGCCATCATGATATGTGTCTGTGTCTGTTGAGGACTTGTGATTAACATGCTTCATATCCATGTATTCATGAATTGCCTCTTGTTTATCGCTATGCCTTGTTCGTGTCATTCTTTTGTCATTGTCAGAACCTGATATACATGCGTCTCTCGTAGCTACCTTGGGAGTTAATTCAGACCTCAAAGCTGTGAAAGATGGAAAAAGGTATCCATCAAGACCTACATCGGGGCCAGTTGCGGATTTTTTACCAATAGGCTTCATGTCCATGTATTTATGAATCGCGTCTTGTTTATTGCTGTCTTTTGCTCTTGACATTTTTATCTCATTGTCAGAAACTTCTTCATCGGCAGTGGTCGTTCCTATTTCCATGTAAACTCTTTTTTCCGGCGTTGTAGCAGTTGGTAAAAGATAACCATCAATGTCTGCATCATTAGAACTAGGAGATCTGTCATGGATAGTATTCATGTCCATGTATTCATGGGATGCTTTTTGTCCGCTATCGCCCCTGATATGCACCTGCTCACCTGTTGTATTTTTACTTTCTGTTAAGGCAACCCGCAATTTATTTTTCCGAGATGGTACAACCGTTGACAGGCGTTCTGGTAATTTAGGTGGGGAACTCAGATCCTGATAGATTGAGTCTAGGTTCTGAAGTTCTACAGACCTAGAATGCATCAAATCCATGTACACAGTTGTATTAAGATTCTGTTTTGCTCCTCTCTTCCGGGATCGACATAGGCAATATACAAACGCTGCGATAAGAATAATGCTCGGAACGGGAACACTTATTCCGAGCAATAGGAAAAGATTGCGGGGGACTTCGTTAGATTGTACATTTTCAGGTTCATCTAGACTGAAGTGTCCAAGCATGTTTGGAGTATTTGAATACGGAGATGTGTTACCAAGTTCCGTTGATAGTTCTTCTCGGGTGGAACTTGACAAAGAAGGATCAGCAGTCTCGAATTCAATAGTAATAGTAGATTCTGAAATAATAAAGAATGGAGAAATATTTAGTATAAAACAAATAACAGCGCTCATCAAACATCGGTAGTCTGGAATGTAATAGTAATAGTAGATTCTGAAAGGTAATAGCGAGTCATTATAAGCAACACATTTCTCTATTCGGATGTCTTGATACTAATGAAGCTACAGTGTGTCTTCGTTTACTTCATTATTGTTATTTCCATGTCTTTTTATAGGAGATATGAATAGAAATGTTTGTCTTAGTGTCTTTAAAGCACAAGTTGATGCATTTTGTGTATATACAAATAGCGAGGGGATTATTAAAGTACACTGTCGTATTCGGATTGTATCGGGGGGGGGGCTGAGGAGGTGGCATCCCGAGCAATGGAGATGTTTGTGGTCATCCAATGATCAATCAAAGAACATCATTGTCGGGTAGCTGTACTACTAGGTTCAATTGCCAAAAACGTACTTCCTAAGTAGCAAATGGATCCTGCATCCCTTCTATGACTGCATAAATAACGTCTAATCCCTGAATGAATAAAGTCTGCTACGCTGTCTTCAGTCCGTGACAATTGACATACTTTAGCAGCATACGACCTACGTTGTTAATGATTCGTCCTTAGTCTTGGTGTTAGAGCTTGAAGTCTTGACCTTGCTAGTATACATTGTAAAAGCCCTTTTATTTAATGTTTGGGTCTCGACTACAACACCCATATATATATATATATATATATATAATGTATTAGCAAATAATACTGGAACCATTTCATAGAGGTTGATTAAAAATATATGGCTTTAAAAAAACATACCTTCTGAATAACAAATGGCGCCGGCATCGCGACTATGACCACAGTAATTTCCAATCTCTGGATGAGCACAGTCTGCAAGGTTATCTTCTGTTCCCTCACACCCGACAAAAATTAGCAGAATACGACCAGAGCTCTGACCAAACCTAGCAGATCCCGGTGCGTCCAATGCTCCATCAAACCCCAGCATTCTACAAACCACCCTCGCGTCTCTCAGATCCCACCAGCCATTATCACAGATAGTTCCCCAGGATCCCTCATACATGACCTCTACTCTACCTTCAGCATCGTTAGATCCATTGACAAGACGAACTTTAAATGGCTGAGGATGGGCTAAGGAGAAAAAAAATTTCATGTTAAAATCTTTCACATTTTACTGGAACTCACATTTGTTTGTATCGAAGTGGTAGTTTGTTAATAAAAAAAATAATATGCACCGGGTTTGTGCAAAATAAGATTTGCTTTTAAAACAGTTTGACCGAAATTCACATTATTGCTTGCAAATCATTCGACAAACGTAACAAATTTCCCTGAAAGATTGTTCAGACTTGGCGCGGCAAACCACCGGAGAAATTTCGCCGTGTAAATGAATGGCAACTGTGGGCAACAAAGGACACACGTTATTTCATTAAATATACATATGTATATATATATATACCTATATGAATGAACGACAATTTATTTTCAGCGAAAGACTTTATGAAGAAAGAAAATTGTCATGGTGCTGGCACCAATCAGACGAACCTCGAATGGATTTAAGTGGACTACATTAATAAGGAAAAATGTATGACCCAAAGCAAACTAAGAATATTTGTCCCCCTTTATGCGATTCAAACAGAATAGAATAGAATTACGATTGATCCTTTCCTCATGTCAAAAAGACTTCGTACCTCCTGAGTAACACACGGCGCCCGCATCCCAGCGATGCCCACATGAAGAGGTGGTCCATATACGTGGACAGTCCGCCAAGTTCTCTTCTGTTCCGTAACATTCGACACGAAGAATATTACCAGAACCCTGACCAAACCTAGCCGATCGTGGCGCGTCCAAGGCACCGTCGTTCTCTAGCATCTTGCAAACAATCATCGCTTGGAACAAATACCAGTAACGATCGCAAATAGTCTGCCATGATCCACCGTACAAGACCTCCACTCTTCCTTCAGAATTGTTGGAGCCATTACTAAGATGTACCCCTACGAAGAGTACTGTCGATGAGTTTCCTCAGATCTGTATTTCATTGTATTTCATCCCAAGTGAATCAGCGTGACGCAAAACGAGCAGAAGGATCCATTGCCCCTCGATTTATTTGAAAAATGTGATAACCACAAATTAGATTGTTTTGATCGTTTAACTGTGATAACTATTAGGGGGGCTTTAGCCAAATCTCAGACTGTCGACATTAATTTTGTCCAACGAGAATTTCCTACTTTACGAGGAACGTATGGACAAAAGTGTAATCAGGACCACTTCATCTGGCTACAATCAGCAGGACCAGGATACCTTTAGACATTTTATAGTAAAGAGACGGTGCAATTTCTTGTACCTATTAAAGAACATAGTAAAACACTCTTGCAGAGCTTGCCTGCCGGGTATTACCAAGGGCTGCAAGTAGCTACGTTCATCCGGTAGAGTATGAATCGCCAATGTAAGATCTGTAAAGGTTGATGTGGGGCTGGACTCGCCACCAGCTGACGGGGTCGCTGTAGTGTCCAGGTCCTACATTCGTAAAAACCTTACTACTCCTAGTTGGCAACTAACTTTGTACTCATGGTACAATAGCCTAGATAATTAATTGACAACTAGGTGAGTAAGGTTTGTGCAAATTGATCAAGGTTTCCATGCACGACCAAGACGATAATGTTTTGCTAGAGGTATCGGCAAACGTAAAACAATGTGCTCTTCTCTCTCTCCTCGAAACTGTGAAGTCTTTAATAGACTTTCCTTCTTTTTGATAATAACCTCGTTGTTTTTTTATAACGTAACTACTGTTGGATATGATTCAACATAAACACCTCAGGTAGCTTTTTACATCTGTATTTTAAGTGAAAACTAGTTCTTTCCTTTCATGCTTCCTCTCAAACTTTGTATTTATACATATTATCAATTTAGCATATATGATAGGGGCGTGATTTTTTTTTTTTTGGGGGGGGATGTTCAACGCAGCTTAAAACTGTTTCCTTCCGCCTCTTTGAACCTGTTTTTTGTGAAAAATGACTGAAATCAGTCACGAGCTGTGCCTCAAAAGTTTCTTTTATTTCTAGAAATGCTATGTTTGGTAACATGAAAACGACGATTATTATTTTTTGTAGTTGTCGGTATCCCCGACTCCGGGGAAGCACGTCTAAAGCAGGGCTCCCACTTAGCCGAGTGGGAACCTCGAGTTGTGGCGAGCAGGCGCGATCTTATGGCAAGCAATTTTATCATGAAAACATATTTCTTGATATCAAGTATTCAATTCTTGATATCACGAAATCGAATTCCTGATATCACGAAATCGAATTCTTGATATCAAGAATTACCATTGCTTTACAACGTAAAATTATTTCTTGATATCAATAAACAATAAAACGGCTTGCCATAAGATCGCGCCAGCTCGCCACAACTCGAGGTTCCAACTCGGCTAAGTGAGAGCCCTGCTTTAAAATAAACGCTCTTTCCATTGCGTTCAAGTTATCTCGCAGCTTTTCTTCCTGATGCACTATATTATTACCACATATATGGTAGCGTCAAGTTTGATATTTCAAAATGTATTTTTCATTTGCACAAGCTGCCCGTGGATTTTCAAGGGACTCAGGTATATATATTATACAAATATTACATATTTCGTCGATCAATATAACAATATATATAAACAAATATTTAAAAGTATATTTCAAGTTGAAATATTATGGCTCGAGGAAAATTCTGAATTTGGAGGTGTAGATATGTTATAGGAAACAACGATATGCATGCAATGTCTGTTAAATAAAATTCAGGGTACATTTGTAATCCTTTTGAATGACGTCCCTTAATTACATCCGCCAAGCTAAGACATTGCAAACAATGGGCACGCGCAGGGCTGAGAGGTGCACAGTCTAATGAACTTTAGTACGCGTTATACAGTGCAAAAAAGTAGTAAGTACGTTGCTCGTTCGTGGCACATATAGAAATATTGCATGCTCCGGTGTACCAGTAAAACGAAAAGTGTGAGCCGACAACTTTAGAATTTCCTGAGTGATGTTATATTTTACCAAGGCTGCAGGAAGGATAACCCTGCCAAGGTTAGGATATATTGGCTCGAGGGACATTCCGAGTTAGATAGTGAATATGTTATACTGAAGAACGCAATACATGCAATATTTGTTATATAAAATTGAGGGTATTTTCGATCTCATGCATTGCTCCCTTGGAGACCAGCTTATGCGCGCTGCTCAAACAATGGAGTATATGCAGGGAAGAGAGGTGCGCAGAAGATTCTCTGTTGTCTGAGTTATACCGTGTAGTGATAATTTGTCATCATTCAACAATTAGTGAAAAAGAACATTTGTATATATTGATGAGTAGAAACCTTGTTTTAATGAAGTGGTGTTAATAACACATCTACCTACATTTATTTGTTTCAAGTGTTTCCTCATTAAGATCATGTACATCTAACACTAAGAAAATTAAAAAAGGTAAACACGACATTATTGTTTCGTTTATCCTTTTTTAAACATGCAGATTTGTGGCTGAAAACACCAATCATATATTTTTTCTTCACTTCATGAAATATAATACCGTAATATCTAAATTTAAAAGAATATTGAAATCATATCAAGTCAAACTTCGAGAAACCTACCTCAAGCACCCTCCACGAACAGTAAAACCTTTAAACTTAAGAAGCTATTAGAGGACAAATTTATTTCAATCACATTCATAAGAATATAAACTACCTCTCTTAATTTCTTATACTTCTTTTTTTAAAGTCCAAGAGACTTTAAAACTTTAAAACCGAATACAAAACTTTTATATTTAAAACTAGACTATGAAAACAATTACAATTTGATATCCATAAACCATAATTCTGGTCTAATAGATTAAGTTTTCAAGTCGAATAAGATTCGCCTTTGTCTGCGCGCTCATGCATGAGATCATCTACGAGCAATTCGATTGACAACTAGTTTATATCCTCACTGCATGCTATGCTCAGCACTTGAGAGTAAATTTACATCAGTGAGGTCAAACAAATTCCCAAAAAGGGTACGATGTCTAAAATTACTTCCAGAAGAAATATTCCACCCTAAATTTAAAAAGATAAAGAAGCTAACATTTCGAAAGATGACATTACATGGTTTTCAGTAATAACGTATTATATCTCAGAACATTGTCAGATTATAATTCTTACATTTTTAAACAAGATATTCATCAAAATGTTTGCAAACTTTTTCATAATTTTTTTGATGAAGGAAATATTAAACGCAAATCAAGAACTCCATCTTTATAGATATATATGGGGTGGATATAAGGCCCATTATTAGAAACTGGCAAACATGTTCTTTAAAAGCATAGAACCATGCAAGCATTTCTATTAAAAACGTATGTTTTCAATTTATTTCAATTTATCTTCAGAAAGAATTTTGCGCAATATTCTTTCTGAAGATTAATGTCACTTCCTCTAATTTCGTCCGTGAATATGCAATATGACGGCCAAATCATGTGTTGAATCTCTTCCTAATCTGGAATATCATATTCGTTTTTTTCTGATGATCCCTCTGTAAACTCATTACTACCTTCGATACACAGCATGAGGAATTCATGCGTATTGTCAGTCTTTTCTTCAACATGCTGCATGATATTGCATGGTAATTCAATCGTATCGTCGCCTGCATCACTTGGCAGAAGATATCCATCTATGTCTTCATCTTCAAGCGTTGAGGATCGTTGGCTAATGGTTTTTACGTCCATGTGCTTGTGAATTGAATCTTGTTTCGTACATTCCTGTTGAAGTGTAGCAGTCTGTTCATTTGAGCTACTTCTTTCACAAACACTCGTGAGAAATATGTCTCTATCGTTTTGGGACAAACAACTTTGTTCTGCATTTTCAACATTTGGTTTATCTCCGGAATTCAAACCAGATGCACTTGGCAAAATATAACCGTCAAGGTCTACATCGCTTCCCTTCAAAAGATTTTTGTTAACATTCGTAATATCTATATATCCATGGGTGTCAGTTCGTTCAGTAGTTTGTGCTTTATTTAGCAGCTCTTTTTTTCCACTTTTAGTTTTACTTGGAAGAAGATATCCGTCAACATCTACATCTTTTTCCATTGTAAGCTTTTTGTATACAGTGTTCATAACCATATACGTGTGTGGATTATTTTGTCCAATAATTTGCACAGTATCTACCGGATCACACGTTTCATCATGGCATATTGCTCTGGATCCTGACGGTATATCATTTGGCAACGTGTCTTTATTTCCAACACGGTGGCTTATAGCATCAGTACTTCCATCCTTGGCCGATGAGGCAGTCTTGCTAATAAATATCGTTTCCATATAGTCGTGTGTGTTTTCACCTTTTTGGGTCTTCGGTACAGATTGCTCCCCTTCGTCCTCAAACAGCTTATTTTCACTCAATATCGTTAAACGTCGTTCTGGTAGTTTTGGAGCAGCATTCAGATCCTGATAAGTAGAGACTACACTCGTGTCATGTGTAAACCCTGTATCCATATAAATATCACTTTCCAATGTCCTACTTGCCCATGATGTTATAGCCCTACGTACACAATATGCTAGTGTTGCCACGAAAAAGACGCTTGACAGAAATACACAAATCCCGATAATTATGGCCAACGTCAGATTGAATGGTGTTCCGCCTAATAAAAAAATCGTATTAAAAATTGTTCAAATATTGCAAAACATGTTACGGATGATTTTTAATGTGATTTTAAAGAGCTCTATATAAAAATATTGATGAAAAATGTTTAGAGAAATTATAGCTATAAAAAGTGTATGCACTGTTTGATTCAGCCTGGAAAATTAGCTTCCTGAATTATCTCATTCTGCATTATTTAAAAATTATTTTAAATAATGTATATTGACAATTAATCTAATAACCCCAGAAACTACTTTATTGTGTCTGCAACACCCTAACAAGCATAATTAAAACCGGTAAAACGGATTCTGTGTTTGGGGGGATTTATCGAGACAGTTTGGGAGGGATAAACGGTGGCCTTTTTAGTGAACATTTTGCTACGAACACAATTGAAACCATATAAATTAACAAAACCCAACCTCCAGGAGAATCAGAATTGTCATATTATTGAAATGTTTACCTTTCGGAGTGCAAATAACGCTGGCATCTTCGTTATGTGCGCAGTTGTGCACACCAATGCCGTCATGACCGCAACGTTCAATGTCAATTTCTGTCCCCCGGCACTGAACTTCATCCAGAAAGATACTCCCAGATCCTTTACCAAATCGAGCATCAGATGGAGCGTCCAAAGCTCGACCAAAGCCTAACATTCTGCAAACAACCTCGGCGTCCTTGAGATCCCAGGAATCGTCACAGATCGTTCCCCACGAGCCATCGTGTAGAATCTCTACTCTACCCTCAACGTCATTAGCTCCTCCAATCAGACGGACTATGAAAGTAATGCGGTGTATATTTAACTAATCGAAATAAATAGATTTCCTCTGAGTAAGAAATCTTGCAAGACATTTTCAGACGTCAAGTTTTTTTTAAGGTAGTGGTTTGTCCTCTTTTTGTTATGCAGCTGTAATTCATATATTTCGACAGCTATTTCAAAATTAATAGCAACATAAATAAATGTATTTGACAACTTCTGCACTATTTCGTATTTTTGTATCCCAAAGTTTGAAACCTAAGTTCAGGAAGATGTATATCGTTCTATTGCAGCTTTTGTCGAGAAAGCTAAAAATCATGCTCACATGAACAACTCTAATGTACTATAGGACAGAGTCATACCTCCTGAGAAACAAATGGCACCCGAATCTCTGGCATGGCTACAGTTGTGAACTCCTATTCCTCTGTGATAACAATCTGCTATGTTCTTTTCTGTTCCGTAACACTGGACATCAACAAGCAGAATGTTACCATTATCCTGACCAAACCGTGCAGAAACTGTTGCTGCCAAAGCTCCATCAAACCCTAACATTCTGCAAACAACTCTCGCATCGTTCAGATCCCAGCCATTGTCACAGACAGTTCCCCATGATCCATTGTACATAACCTCTACTCGACCCTCTGAATCATTCGCCCCATCGGTGAGACGAACCTTGAATGGGTCTGTGAAGTTTCAAAAATATTAATTAAAATAACAATTTCAAGTATCAGGAGAGAAAAATGTGTTTGTGGAAAGTGAACAAAACGCGATCGGTAGAGCTTCTTAGAAATCAACTCAAGAGCAGTCAATAAACTATTGTATACTCATTGTATATTACGTTATACATTACTCGTCCCAATTTTCATACTTCCAAGAAGCTGATAGACAAGGCTGTACAAAAAAAAATTACTGTCTTTGTGATCATGTCACAAGAGCGTGGACGTAAGGGTAATACTATCAAACCCAAAACAGGTTGAAAAAGACCTACATTTGTTATCATGTTCTTCAAAAAGCTGAGTTTTTAATTATGAGTATGTTAGACTCTAAGTATCATCCCATACCTCCTCTGAAACAAATGGCTCCAGAATCCTCTTCGTGTTCGCAATTGGAGACGCCAATCCCTCGATGGTAACAGTCTGCCAGGTTATCGTGTGTACTTTCACAGGATATACCATCAAGTAGTATATCTCCTGAACCTTGGCCAAACGCAGCAGAGCCTGGTGCGGCTAAGGCTCCATCAAACCCCAGCATTTTACACACGACCCTAGCATCTCTCAGATCCCACTCATGATCACAAACGGTTCCCCAAAAACCATCATACAAGACCTCTACTCGTCCTTCAAGGTCGTTAGCTCCATTCACGAGCTGAACTAGAAATGGGGCTGTCGGAGGAATACAGAAAAGGATATATGCAATCAGTTCATTTTTGGACTTCTCTCTGTAAAGGAGCCAACAACAGCTAGTAAATACTGAATCCCTAAAAATCATTATAACATGTGTGCGGTGTGCGTTGAGATTCAACTTAGTTCCCGTTCGTGATAGCGATGGAAGCCCACTGTAATGACCTATAGATACTGATATAAAAGTTTCATCGAACAAACGACACTTAAAACACCCCCATTGTTCACGTGGAAACAGCGAGACCAACACGAGGAAGACCATGAGGGTGGCATAGACCAGATCGCGGTTAGCACATGTCCCAAATGATCCCGAATATCCACAGATCTTCCAAACTTGTTTGTTGTTTTAATAATCACTCCTACAGCGATGGAGGTTCTACATAAATAGCATTTGTTTCCCCTTTCATGGAGTGCAATGCTTGTGCATAAATGAATAATGATTACTTTACTTTCATGAGCACGTATCCAGTATTTTGTCTCCGTGTATTTCCCAATTTGGTCTGCAATGACCTTTATCTGCTCATGCTCAGACTACAACTATGAACCGGATTATTGTATTAACAACCGTTGTACGAATTTTTGATTTTCAAAGCCTTCGTGAACTAATAAAACAACCATATTATCCTACCTCCTGTAAAACAAATGACACCGGCGTCACTGTCATGTTCACAGTTGTTGACTCCAATCCCTTGGTGGTAGCACTCAGCAAGGGCGTCTTCTGTGCCCCTGCATCCAACGTCATCTAACAAGATTTTACCGCTTCCGGCACCAAACGTAGCTCTACCAGGTGCGGCTAAAGCTCCATCAAATTCAAGCATTTTACAAACTACTCTTGCGTCTCTTAGATCCCAGTTATCATCACATATAGTTCCCCAGCTTCCCTTATACAAAACCTTCACTCTGCCTTCTGAATCGGTGGTTCCATTGGTAAGACGAACTTGAAATGGCTCTGTTGTGTTTAATGAATAGTTAGGGTGAGAAGCAGAATGGGTTTATCAGATTAAATGTACATACTCTTACAAGGAAATGTAATCATGAAGCCCTCTTTATAAAAATCCAGTACAAAGATTGGTTAAGAGCACCTCACGTGACCAGACATATCTAGAGAAGAGCAATCCGCTAACTATAACAACGAAATTAAGGTGAGAGGTTGAAGGAAGAAAAGTTAAAATTCTCGCTTGTTTGCGTTCAACCTCAATTACTGAATTAGGGAAATGCAAAATATACATTCAGGTGTATATGCAAGTGAATAAGGATTTACTCAAAAAGCGAACCTATAACAAAATTATGTAAAAAACAGAACACCTACCTCCCGAATAACAAACAGCGCCTGCATCCCTCGAATGACTACATGTGTAACGTCCAATCTCTGCATGAGCACAGTCTGCTAGGTTGTCTTCTGTTCCGTCACAGCTGACATGAGTTAGCAGAACACGACCAGAGCCTTGACCAAACCGTGCAGATCTCGGTGCGTCCAAGGCTCCATCAAACCCTGCTATTCTGCAAACCACCCTCGCGTCTCTAAGATCCCACCATGAATCACAGATAGTTCCCCAGGATCCATCGTACATGACCTCTACCCTGCCTTCAGCATCGTTAGACCCACCAACAAGACGAACTTGGAATGGATTTGGATGGGCTACACGTGAATATGAAAGATAAATATACCGCATTTGGGATCGTATTTTGGCTAATGTCTTGATAGTTTTTTATATATAAATGTAAAGGAATTTTGAACAAAATATTATTTGTAGTAAGAAATAATTAATAAACTTATTTAAACTCATAGTACTGAGGTATGCAATAATGTTTAAAGAGTTATTTTGATCCACTAAACACGCATTATCATTAATTTTTTTTAAAACATACCTCCTGAATAACAAATGGCTCCTGCATCCATTGTATGACTGCATGGGTAACGTTCAATCCCTGCATGAGCACAATCAGCTAGGTTGTCTTCATTTCCGTCACAATTGACATATTTTAGCAGAATACGACCGGAGCCCTGACCAAATCTAGCAGATCCCGGTGCGTCCAAGGCTCCATCAAACCCTGCTATTCTGCAAACCACCCTCGCGTCTCTAAGATCCCACCATGAATCACAGATAGTTCCCCAGGATCCATCGTGCATGACCTCTACCCTGCCTTCAGCATTGTTAGACCCACCAACAAGACGAACTTGGAATGGATTTGGATGGGCTACACATGAATAGGAAAGACAAATATACCGCATTTGGGATCGTATTTTGGCTAATGTCTTGATAGTTTTATATATAAATGTAAAAGAATTTTGAACAAAATATTATCTGTAGTAAGAAATAATTTATCAACTTATTTAAACTCATAGTACTGAGGTATGCAATAATGTTTACAGAGTTATTTTGATCCACTAAACACGTATTATCATTTTTTTTTTAAACATACCTCCTGAATAACAAATGGCTCCTGCATCCATTGTATGACTGCATGGGTAACGTTCAATCCCTGCATGAGCACAATCAGCTAGGTTGTCTTCATTTCCGTCACAATTGACATACTTTAGCAGAATACGACCGGAGCCCTGACCAAATCTAGCAGATCCCGGTGCGTCCAAGGCTCCATCAAACCCCCGCATTCTGCAAACCACCCTCGCGTCTCTAAGATCCCACCATGAATCACAGATAGTTCCCCAGGATCCATCGTGCATGACCTCTACCCTGCCTTCAGCATCGTTAGACCCACCAACAAGACGAACTTGGAATGGATTTGGATGGGCTACACGTGAATAGGAAAGACATATATACCGCATTTGGGATCGTATTTTGGCTCATGTCATAATAGTTTTATATCTAAGTGCTTAAAAAAATGAAAAAATATTATTTGTAGTAAGGAATAAATTATCAACTTATTTAGACTCGTAGTTCTGATTTATGCGATAAGATTTAAAGAATTATCCTGATCCACCAGACATGCAATATTTGCTAAAAATAATTTATGCTGGAACATGAATACTAAAGAAAATACGTCTGGCTATAGAATTACAAAATGTAGTGTGGTTGCATTTGACTGTCATACAATGAAAGTAAGATAAGACTATGATTTGTTCTCGGGGAGGGGGCTAAATTTTAAGTTGTTTGTCTGTAGGCGATTTGCACTTCAAGTAAACTTAAATATTGAGTTTAAAGTCACTTATCTCGAGTTGTTCATGTTCATCTAATAATCATGCAAATAACAAAATGGTCAGTTACAAAAACTTATGTGGAAGAGGGAAACATACTTCCTGAGTAGCAAATGGCTCCTGCATCCCTTGTATGACCGCATGAAGTATAATCTCTAATCCCTGGATGAGCACAGTCAGCCAGGTTGTCTTCATTTCCGTCACAATTGACATACTTGAGCAGAATACGACCGGAGCCCTGACCAAACCGTGCAGATCTCGGTGCGTCCAAGGCTCCATCAAACCCAAGCATTCTGCAAACCACCCTCGCGTCTCTCAGATCCCAGCCAACATGACAGATAGTTCACCATGATCCATCGTACAATACCTCTACTCTCCCTTCAGCATTGTTAGATCCATTGACAAGACGAACTTCAAATGAATTCGGATGGGCTGAATGAATGAAAAGTGTTTTAAAGGAACTTTAAAAAGAACCAAATATGACCTAAACCTCTACTTGGTCCCGGAAAATATGCACAAATCAAACATAATCAGAAATTAAATGCACTATTTCAATACGATATGGACTTTTTATAGTGTTGTGACGTATATCATTCAAAATGTTTGATCGTGCTCGCTATTCATTCATTTGGAAATGTCTTCATGAAGGATTATGATAAATAGCTGATATCAAAAAAATATTGATCATAATTTCATTTTTTTTCAGCAGATATTTATTTTGAATTTGTAAACATGAAACTTGATTTTTCTCTTTAATCAAATCGACATCTCCTGAAAATAGGGAAAACTGTGACTACAGACTTATGTAAATGTTCTTGTATTGTGCTCTTCTAAATAGTATGTCCTCTTTAGGTACCGTTGGTAAATTATTCTTTAATATGAAATGAGTTCATACCCCCTGAATAACATACGGCACCTGCATCCTTGAGATGCCCACACCAAGAGGCGGTCTCCAGGTATGGACAGTCCGCCAAGCTCTCTTCTGTTCCTACACAATCAACACCAATAATACCACCGGTTCCCTGCCCAAACCTAGCCGAATGAGTTGCTTCCAAGGCTCCGTCGAACCCAAGCATTCTGCAGAACACCATTGCTTCTAACAGATCCCAGTAGTACCATTTAGCTCCACAAACGGTCATCCACGATCCACCTTCCAAGACCTCCACTCTCCCTTCAGCATTCTTCTATTTAATCATATTTTTTCAAATGATAAACTAGATCCTCGTATAAAACAGACTAAGCATCAACTCTTGTTTAAAACAATTTAATTTCCTATAAATATCCCAGAGGACTTAGCAAGTATGAAAATTGGATTGGGTGAGTTCGATGCGATTCATGGTCGTTCTCTAATCGTTACATACCTTGTCGTCTCAAAAAGAAATACCAACTCTGAAATATTCCTGTATCCCTCCAATGAAGTTTACATCATTTAAAAGAATAACTACTATGTTTCCTGGTCGTATAGGTTTCCATAATCGCTAGCCACTGAATACTAATATCGTAAAAGTATGCCAAATCCCGGCTTTGCAAATTTCCTTTAAAACAGACATAGTGTTCAAGGGATTGAGGTGTCAACCTGCTTTTAAGAAATGTGTATAAAAACTCGAATATGGAAACGTCGTGTAAAGAATCATCGTAAATCGAAAGGAGCATACAGACTAGAAAACAGCGTGGTATTATAAAAAACGCATCATGAAGAAACTGGTTTCGACGAGATCAGTTAACATAACAACCTGCCACTCATTAGTGCGCGGTCATTCTAAGCCCCGACCGGTTAACGATTCTTGTACGACACGACGTTAAGACCCTGATTATTTATCGAGTTTTCATTCGAAACGATGCTCATAACAGGCGTATCGCTTTAAGACGTTTCTTATACGACGTTCAGACTAGAAAAAGGTAATAAGAATTAGCGTATAACAATACGATATTCTAAAAGCTTTGCTTTGAATGCTTGTAGTATAAACGAACGGTAAAATGTCTTTTCAGTTGCCATCAGTTGAGTTGATGCAATTTTACGAACTTTAGAAAACGTGTTTAAGGATGTCATTTATTATTTCTACCAAGAACAAGCGAGATCTCTGGTTAGAAACGTCAAACTATTTTATTTATCACTGACGCTGTAGACACCTTTTTGCAATTTATTTTAAAACAAATCAAAGGAAAAGCGATCGCAACTACCTTCGAAAAGTAAATTCACACTTTTCGGAACTGCGGTATCCGCCTATTATATCCCAGAGAATTCATGTTTAGGTTACGTAATTAATCCATGACACATGCTCCGCCGACAAATACTCGGCAAAAAGCGAGAGTTGCTCCGCCGACAATTGCTCCGCCGATATTTGCTCCGACGACATTTGCTCCGCCGACAATTGTTCCGCCGACAGTTTCTCCGACGACCTTTGCTCCGCCGACAATTGCTCCGCCCAAGGAGTGCCCTGTAAAATTGAAATGCTTCAACATTGCTCCTTCCTTAAAGTACCTCGTTGAAGACAAATGCTCCGCCGACGTATCAGGAGTGCCCCGTAAAATACAAATGCTCCCTTTTGCGGCGAAAAAAAGATAGAAAGGAAGGAAAAGAAATGAAAAGAAAAGGACAAGAAAGCATGGAAAAGATAAGGTCAAGAAAAGTAAAGGCTATAAGGACAAGGGAAAAGGGACACAAAGTAGAATAGATGAAGATTTAATTACCACATTTTTGCATTGGCCTAAAACTTTGTGTCGGAACGGTGTCGGTATAATTAATGACGGTAAATCCTGCCGGCGCGGCGTCGCGGCCCGTCGGGGAAAATGAGAAATAAAAAGGAGTATGAAATATAGGCCTACATGCTCGTGAAATAATCATTGATTAAGAAAAGGGATGGTAGGCAGGCAGATGGTTTTTAGTTATTATATGAAAAGGATTAAAATTAGCTTGCTCGCTACGCTATAGCTTATGGTCGTAATACATTTTGTACATCAGTCGTTAAAAAGCGATGCTAGGCACGCGGGTGCTTTTCAATATGAAATGGCAAGCCAAAGAATTTCGACCATTCGCTAAACTCGCTCACCAACAAGGAATAAACAATAGTCCTAAAATAATACTTCCCCATTTGATTCAAAAGGGGCGTAATGTAGAAAGATTCTATTCAAGATCATAAGCTATGATTTTTACCTTATTTGTTCGCCAAATAAAAAAATTAAAAACAAACAAAAAACGCCCCCTTAAATATGTTTCTGCTACTCCCCCTCCCACCCCACCCCCACCCCCATTTCACGGGACAAGAAGACACAGTTCCCCTATGGAAAAAAATATGCCTCTAATTATTATCAAAAGAGAAGTGTTTAAAAAAATCACTCACTTGCTACGCTAACTCGCGATTATAATTTTTTAACATTTTTTTATTTTTTTATTCATTTGACGAATGTGCAGCTCTTAAACGTCAGACGAAGAAGGGCGGAAGGCAGGTAGATGCTATTCAATATAAAATAAATAAAATAAAAGATAAAAACTCTGTTTGATACTCATTATTGTTGAAAATAATTCTTTGTTTTAAAACGCTTATAAACATGCTTATTTAATTAAGGAGGTAAATAAAGCAGGGAGATGCTATTCAAAATTAATGATAAGTCTACCTTTTTAGCTCTCTTTCTCTCTCTCTCTCTCTCTCTCTCTCTCGCTATATACCATCGCTTACCAAAAGGAAATAAATATTACCTTAAATATTATTGTGCCCAAAAAAGAAAAAACTCACTACTTGTTGAAGGAAGGTCCACTCAAGGTTGAGAAAAGTTTATCTATTACTTAACAGCGTCTGCACCTGCCCCCCCCCCCTCACGTATAAAATTTGTAATGATTTTTTTTTTCTTTCGATGTACTTTTTTTTAAAAGAAGAAGATGTGTAAACATGATACCATCATGTGTAATCAAGAAAGTAAAAGCTTTCATAAACGTATTTCGTTATTTGCCCCATCAACAAAAAAAGCTTTCTGAGCGAGAACCGTGGTCGTCAATTCTTTTTTTACTGAAATACAAATTTGTCCTCCATGTCAAATTTCAAACGAAAAAATATGGGAAATCCATAATGAGATTTTTTTTCTTCATCCTTCGATCCCTTTTTTCTTGCCTATAAGCCAGTAGAAATCTGGCCAAGTTGTTCACACCAGGTTCCGGTTGGACTGTTCACAGAAGTTTTGTCCACTGTGCCTGTTAGGGGTAACATGTTACACCATCGTTGTTGGCAACATGAAGTGCACCCGTTAAAGATATGCTGGGCTATGCGTTGTGTTGGCCTACACAAACAGGATTCTGCTGGGCATTGCTGTGGAGTCCCCCAAGAAACGTGTTGGCATTGACTTGTGCATTGTATGGCACTCACTCCGCGAAGGTATCTTACACAAACTGAATTCCTAACTTCAACCCTGAATCCAATACTACACCTACCTCTTTTCATAACCCTGCCTAAAACCCAGTTGTAACCTTAACCCAACCCTGTAACTGTGACGAACTAAAACCCGGCGTAGACGTCCTCAGAGCAGATGTCGGATCACCGACTTGTGCATTGGCAGTGAAGGATCAACCTCTCATTGCGATACAAGTCGCCAACGGATGAACCGTAAAGTGGTCAGGTCGAGCGCCCTGCCTCCAGTCGGCTCTCTATGCTACATGCGAAGTGACCATACATTGATCAAATAAATTGTATCGTTAAAAAAAAACGAAATAAGAAATTGCTCCTGCGTCCCATGCATGACCACAGTAACTATTATCTACAATCCATCGATGACCACAGTCTGCCAAGTTATCTTCTGTTCCATCACACCTGACCAAATCAAGAAGAATACGACCAGAGCCTTGACCAAACCTTGCAGAACTCGGCGCGCCCAATGCTCCATCAAACCCCAGCATTCTACAAACCACCCTCGAATCTCTCAGATCCCAGTTATAATGACAGATAGTTCCCCACGAGCCGTCGTACAGTATCTCTACTCTGCCTTCAGCGTCGTTTGATCCATTCATAAGACGAACTTCAAAAGGATTTGGGTGGGCTGAATGAATGAAAGTGTTTTAAATGAACTTTACTAAGAACTAAATATGACTTAAAACCTCTACTTGGTCCCGTACAAATTGCAAAAATCAAACAACATCAGAAATTGGATGCACTATTCATATAAGATGTCGGACGTGTATAGTGGTGTAAGTTATAATATTCTTAATGTTTGATTGTACTCTCTGCTCATTCATATGGCAATGTCTTTATGAACGATTATTACAAAAAACGGTATTTAACAAAATTGATAATAATTTCACTATATCGCCAGTTAAATTTGAATTTGTAAACATGTAAGACTTTTGAAAATGTTATTACGAGGCTGTACTATTATTAATGAAACACGATTTCCCCTTAAATCAAAATGACATCATCTGAAACTTGGAAAAACTGTGATAAAGAATGTAAATGTTCTTGTATTGCGCTGTCCTAAATAGTATGGCATCTGTAAGAACCGTTGGTAAATTATTCATTCAAATGAAATGAGTTCATACCCCCTGAATAGCATACGGCACCCGCATCCTCGTGATGCCCGCAGTAAGAGACGGGCCAGTGATTACAGTCCGCCAGGCTCTCTTCTGTTCCGTCACACCAATCGACATACAGAATATCACCGGTTCCCTGCCCAAACCTGGCCGAACCAGGTGCTTCCAAGGCTCCGTCGAACCCCAGCATTCTGCAAACTACCCTTGCTTTTAACAGATTCCAGTAATAATCACAAACGGTCATCCACGATCCACTGTACATGACTTCCACTCTTCCTTCAGCATTGTTGGTGCCATTGAAGAGACGTATACCTTCGTTTCACAAAAAGTTCTATTTAATCATATTTTCAAATGATAAACTAGAACCTTGTATAGAACAGACTAAGCATCAACTCTCGTTTAAAACAATTTAATTTCCTATAAATATCCCAGAGGACTTAGCAAGTATGAGAATATGATTGGTCGAGTTCGATGCGGTTGGTGGGCGTTCTCTAATCGTTTACATGCCTTGTCGTCTGAAAAAGAAAGACTGACTCTGAATTATTCCTGTATCTCGCCAATGAAATTAACAACATTTAAAAGAATAACTACTATGCTTCCCGATCGTATAGGTTTCCATAATCGCTAGCCACTGAATACTAATATCGTAAAAGTATGCCAAATCCCGGCTTGGCAATTTTCCTTTAAAACGGACATGGTGTTCAAGGGATTGAGGTGTCAACCTGCCTTTAAGAAATGTGTATGAAAACTCGAATATGAAAACATCGTGTAAAGAATCATCGTGAAGCGAAAGGAGCATATAGACTAGAAAACAGCGTGGTATTATAAGAAACGCATCATAAAGAAACTGGTTTCGACGAGATCAGTTGACATAACAACCTGTCAATCATTAGTGCGCGGTCATTCTAAGCCCCTACCGGTTGAGATTCTCGTACGACACGACGTTAAGACCCTGATTATTTATCGAGTTTTCATTTGAAACGATGCTCATACCAGGCGTATCGCTATACGACGTTTCTTATAAGAGGTTCAGACTAGAAAAGAGTAATGATAATTAGTGCATAACAATAAGATATTCTAAAAACTATGCTTTGAACGCGTGTAGTCTTAACGAAGGGTAAAATGGCTTTTGTGCCATCAGTTGAGTTGACGCAATTTTACTAACTTTAGAAAACGTGTAAAAGGATGTCAACTAATTATTTCTACCAAGAACAAGCGAGATCTCTGGTTAGAAACGCCAAACTATTTTATTTATCACTGACGCAGTAGACACCTTTCTGCCATTCAATTTAAAAAAAATCAAAGGAAAAGCGATCGCAACTACCTTGGAAACGTAAATTCACGCTTTTCGGAACTGCGGTATCCGCCTATTATATCCCAGAGAATTCATGTTTAGGTTACGTAATACGCGTTGTAATGTTTGTGCATATCAAACGTGACTGACAAGGTAAATGGAATCGTCTATGTTTGATATTCTAGAAGTCTTTGCCTACGTGCTGACAGAGTTTTATGGATATCAGGAAAGTGTATTGATGATATGAAATATAATTTATTTGTTTATTTTCCACCCTCTAATTCTCATAGTCATAAAGGTGGACAAGGTTGAATCACAATGAAGTGGCAAGTTTGGGAAGTTCCTAAAAACAGCTGAACATCTTAGTCCAAAAATGTATGGAGCACCAAGCATCAAGCTATCTTCATTGTGTACACATTAAAGTAATTCTGCAACAAAATAAATGAAAGAAACTAATCTATTCATTACATATCAATGAGAGATTTCATGCTGGGTTTATTTGTATTCATTTATTTGCATGAATGGTTTTGTTTTGGAATTAAAAATGGATTCTTGGCGCTTCATACATCAGTCGAATGGATCTTCCCACTTAAAGTTGGACTATAGTTGAATACCAGCCTTAGACTTGCATTCCTTTCCTCTAGGATAATGTTCTGTTTGGTTCGTGATTGTGAACTTTTTTTAGTTACCCAGTCTTTTGTGCAGAATGAAAATAATATACCACTATAATTCCATTTGTACACAGATGGATAATTATTTTTAAATATGCCACCACCACAAAGTTGAAAAGAAAACTAAATCGTGATGAGGATTTGCATTATTAATGACCATGGAGACTATCTAGGCCGTTTGACAAAAGGAAAATACCAAATATCGTAATTATTGTATCTCTCGTAAATTATGAACAAACTGCAACTTCGCACTGCTAAGGTAATAGGTATCTCAACCATGGTTAATATATCCGCAGCATTTAAATTTAGGTTTCCCTTATGTTAGCACTCATATACACGATCTTGTACAGATAAATCCGTGCACGTACCGGGATTTCTTCTCCACTTTAACCACTCTTCGATGATCATGACTTACCTTATAATGAATAGAATTTCTAGTTGATCTAAAGTCACAATGAAATGGCAAGTCTGGGAAGTTCCTAAAAACAGCTGAACTCTCCTCCGAATGGTTTCTGGCAAAGATGAGAAAGGCCCTCGTCCTTGGCAGGCTCGATGCAGAAATGCAGAAAAAGTCGAACTTCTAATCAAACTGTTCAAAAACCATCATCCAAGTCACATTGGAAAACATTTATTGAAGACATATGATCGATGTATCGATATATATATATATATATATAAATATAATATATATATATATAAATATGGATATATGTATGTATTTTTATTATGAGATGAGCATATTAATAGGGATGTGAATCAAGTGATCATTTAATTTACCTGATCGTCAGAACAGAATATTATTCATATTAGTCTTTTTTCTTCTGTTGTCATTATTATATCTGAATTGTTTCACGTACAAACTGTGTAACCATTTTTTGTTCTTTTGACGAAAGAAGATGGGTAAATATCTTACCATAATGTGTAATCAAGAAATTCAAAGCTTTCATAAATATATTCAATTATTTGCCCCTTCATCGAAAATTTTCTCAGCGAAGAACGATTGTCGCCAAATGTTTTCATACTGAAATACAAGGGGCTCCTGTATTTTAGTAATTTCAACGTTAATTTGTCCTCCATATCAAATTTCAAACGAAAGAAATATGAGGAAACCATTATGATATTTGTTTCGTTCTTTAAGCCCTTCTTCTGTTCATATAAGCTAGTAGAAATTTGGCCAAGTTGTTAATACAAGGTTCCGGTTGGGCCTGTTCATATAAGTTGTGTCCAATGCGCTTGGTAGGGGTAACATGTGACACAACCGTTGATGGCAACAGGAAATGCAATGCGTTGTGACGGCCTACACAAACAGGCTTCTGCTGGGCAATGTTGGGGAATCCCCCGAAGAAACGTGTTGTCATTGACTTGCGCCGTTCTAAGACTCTCACTCCGCGGTATTCAATTCCTCACTTCAACCCTGAATCCAACACGTCACCGTTTTCCTGATTCTCCTGTTAAACCAGTTATAACCTAGGCCCTAACCCTGTAACTTTGACGCACAAACACCCGGCGAACTTGTCAGAGAAAATGTCACCGACTTGTGCATTGGCAGTGAAGGGTCAACCTCTCAATGCGATACAGGTTGCCACCGAGCGTGGAACCGTTACGACCACAGTAACTATAATCTCTAATCCCTCGATGAGCACAGTCTGCTAGGTTGTCTTCAGTTCCGTCACAGTTGACCCAAGTCAGAAGAATTCGACCAGAGCCCTGACCAAATCTTGCAGACCTCGGTGCGCCCAATGCTCCATCAAACCCCAGCATTCTACAAACCACCCTCGCGTCTCTAAGATCCCAGTTATAATGACAGATAGTTTCCCACGAGCCATCGTACAGTATCTCTACTCTTCCTTCAGCGTCGTTTGATCCATTGATAAGACGAACTTCAAATGGATTCGGGTGGGCTGGGCGAATGAAAAGTGTTTTAAAGGAACTTTAAACAAGAAGTAAATATGACTTCAAACATTTATTTGGTCCAGGAAAATATGCGAAAATTATGCAACATCAGAAATTGAATGCACTATTCAAATACGATGTTTGATTTCTGTATAGTGATGTGACGTATATCATTTTGATCCTGCTCGCTACTTATTCACATTGCAATGTATTGCTGAAGGATTATTACAAAAAACGATAGAATAACTTGTGATCATAATTTCACTATATCGCCAGTTATTTCTTTTGATTTTATAAACATGAAAGACTTTGGAAAATTGTATTACCATGCTTTTTGACCAAAGAAACCTGATTTTCTCTTTAATCAAAGTGACATTACCTGAAAACGGGGAAACAGGGATTAATGTTCTTGTATTTTTCTGTCCTAAATAGTATGACAGTTGGAAAATTACAGTTGGAAAATTATTCTTTGATATGAAATGAGTTCTTACCCCCTGAATAACATACGGCACCCGCATCCTCGTTATGCCTACATGAATAGGTTGTCCCCACGGATGAACAATCTGCCAGGCTCTCTTCTGTTCCTTCACACCACCCGACATACAGAATATCACCGGTTCCCTCCCCAAACCTAGCCGAACTAGGTGCTTCCAAGGCTCTGTCGAACCCCAACATTCTGCAGACCACCCTTGCTCTTAACAGATTCCAGTTATCATCACAAACAGTCATCCACGATCCTCCGTAAGAGATCTCCACTCTTCCTTCAGCATTGTTGGAGCCATTGACGAGACGTACACCTTCAAAAGAATCACGCCTTTCGTAACTGCGGTATCTGCCAATCCTAGAGAAATCATGTTAACGTTATGTAATCTATATAAGTAATACGCTAAGGCTCCGCGGGGGGCGCGACGTCTCCGCGAGCCTTTGTATTCTATTGTTTTTTAATGAGATCGCCGACCGAAGTTGGTGCGGCTATCTTCTCCTGAACCCTCCCCTCGGGGTACCCGTGCCCGGTGCCATCGTCCGCGGGAGAGTCTACTCTGTGGAATTGGCTATACTCCGCCCGAGGTCCTCCTCCGTGTCGACGTCCAGGGCGAAAACAGACGCGACATGCATAATGCAGGATATGCGTGACGACAGAGATACCTCATGGATATTCAACATTACATCCGTAGACACACGACCGATGACCATCCACTCACATTAAGTTGCGTATTAAATGCACTATGCACAGGGTCGGGCTTACCCGAGTAAAGCATCTTTCTATAGGATATCCTTTGTAGTAGCTGCACAAGCCACAGAGATACACACGAAGGGATCCTCCACACGAAGCTTCCCGTCCACGTCCAAACTTAGAGACCTATTTCCATCATTATTGCCGCGATTTGTATATAGTTTTCGTGAATGGAGGTATGAAATCAAAGTTTATTTGTGATTATTACGGCAATGTATACTAAAATTTGATTATCATTTTCGAAAGGAAAGTTTTCACAAGAAAACCATTGGACTGACAGTTCAGTCGCAAGCTGCCTTCAGTCAACACAAAGTGCAGTGCTGCTGTGTAGTGTGTGTGAGTTGCGATGAGCTTGCAGGAAGCTCCAACACCGCGCACCGTAGGCGTCCGACGCCTGCGGCGCCGGTGTTGAGCTTCCTGGAGTAACGCTGCAGTGTGTGTGAGTTCACCTAAGCTTGAGTCGAAGAGATTTGACACTTTGAAATTGTTATCTGTTGGTTTGCATCATTGTTGCCGCGATTTCAATATAGTTTCGTGAATAGATTTACGAAACCTGAGCTTAGAATTAGTAAAAGTATTACTAATGTCTACGTTTTTAAACGACTGTCTGATTTTCTTGTGAAAATTTTACTTTGAAAAATGATTATCGAAATTAATGGTCAGAAATAATCACAATCTAGGGTCTATTATGTTACAGTTCTTGCATCAAATCAATGCATGAAAACTTAGTTATTGAACTAGAAAAATGTTTTGTTTTTGTAAATAGGCAATTATGAAGTAGGAAGCCTGAAACCTTAGCCTACTAAACAAATCTCAACAAAGTGTAGGCCTATCGTTTTTTGTGAATTAATGAAAAAGTAGCCCCAGAAAAAAGAGCCCCCGAAAGTTGAAAAAGCAGCCCCCGAAAATTTCCCAAAAATTTGAAATGGAGCCCCCGAAATGAAAAACTTAATTTTTTGCCTGCGCCCCCCTCTAGAATCCCGCGGATTTCCACGGGTCCTGAGTTGGGTGTATATATAATATAGGCCTGGGGTCCACGGGTTTCAAGTGGCCATAAACCCCCAAAAGCTCGGGGGTTACGTTCTTCAAAGTTGGGGGGGGAGATCAGATCGCAGCGAGTTGAGTGTATATATAATATAGGCATGGGGTCCACGGGTTTCAAGGGGCCATAAACCCCTGAAAGCTCGGGGGTTTTAGGCGTTTAATTAGGGTCAGATGAGCATATTTTTATTACTTTATTTCTGACACTTGCGGGTCACTAATTGGCGTGGGGTCAATACGTAGAGTTGCGTAGTGTTGCGTACCAACTACGCTGGCCTATGTTACTACACTGTCGCTCATAAAGGTGGAATATTTTGTTTTTATTCCAATTTATGGAGTTATTTTAAAAATAATTTAAAAATAATAGATCTAGATAATAGTATACATTCTCAGATTTTATTGAATACTAATTTGCCAATGTGTGTTTTGCGTGACTGCTAAAGCATGTGTATGCTACTATGCTTATCAACTAGGGGACCTATGCCCTTAAGTCATAAATGACAGTAATGATAATTAATGCCCCACAAAAGGGCACAAATATAGCACATCGACACGGTTTTGATCCTGGGGCCTCACAGTTACGAGGCCATTGCTTTGTCACTGAACCATGACTGTACGCAGCGGGGGCTAGGGTAGGGGGCAGTTTCCATAAATTTAAAAAAAACACAGAAAATGCAATAAATTTTCAATAATTTATTGCATTTAACCCCGGTTCCCAACATAAACAAATCTTCTGTGTGCCCATGCCTCGAGCCATAATGCATGGCCGTCCAGAGGTTTTTTTGTGTTGGGGACCGGGGTAAAATGCAATAAATTATTGAAAATTTATTGCATTTTCTGTTTTTTTTTAAATTTATGGAAACTGCCCCCTACCCTAGCCCCCGCTGCGTACAGTCATGGTTCAGTGACAAAACAATGGCCTCGTAACTGTGAGGCCCCAGGATCAAAACCGTGTCGATGTGCTATATTAGTGCCCTTGTGTGGGGCATTAATCCTCATTACTGTCATTCATGACTTGAGAGCGTAGGTCCCCTAGTTAATAAGCATGGTAGCATACACATGCTCTAGCAGTTCCGCAAAACACACATTGGCAAGTTATTATTCAATACAATCTGAGAATGTATACTATTATTTATATCTATTATTTTTAAATAATTTTTAAAATAATTCCATAAATTGGGGTAAAACTAAAATATTCCAACTTTATGAGCGACACTGTATATGCTGAGGGACGGAAAGGGGTACGCAAGGTGAACGAAAACAATTCAACATGTTTAATTTTTTTTGCGTACTTTCGGCGTAGAAACTTGACGCAGAAATTACGCCTTTTTACGCAGAAAGTCCGCCTTTTTACGCAACAGTACGCTACCCTACGCCAGATCGACTAAGCAGTAAAAGCTTTCCACACAGTAAGCAACCATAAGCAAACCTGTACGCCAGCCTACGCATAACCTACGCAGGGACTATTTTCCCATTAATACGCAGCCTAATTTCTGCGTAGTCGGTACGCCACACTACGGAACTCTACGCAGTTCCAGTGGCTTAAAGAATAACTACCGGTACAGTTGGATTGTTTTTTTAAATTTAATATAAGGCCAAATTAAAAAAAAAAACATGCTTATAGCATCCTGTTTTTTTGAAAAATGGGAAGGAGGAGGCGCTTTTTTTTTTTTTTTTCTTTCAAAATGGCCGCTCCGTACATTTTCCCTGGCATTCGGGCTATTTTTCAAGATGGCGGCCGACAATTTTTTTTTTCTTTTTTAAAATCAGAAATACATTTTAGCAGTGCTTTTCATGTTTTTTTTTCTTTCAAAAAAAAAAAAAAAAAAAAAAAATAGGAGGCGGCCCCCAAAAAGGAAGCGGGCGGGGACGCTAAACATGTATATTTTTAATGGCCTGAATGGCAAATAACGTTCTTGGTGGTTTTAATTTAGACATTCTCTATATATGTACACCCCCCACTCCCTCTAGAATCCCGCGGATTTCCGCGGGTCCTGCTAGTCTATAATAATAATACGAGAAGCTCCATGGGTCCGATTGTGGGCGGTCCGATGACTAATTTCGCGTCGAAACGCGTCGATCTGCGTCACTTAACGAGGGTCCGGGCTCGACGTCGGGAGAGCTTTCTCCTCCCGGACGACGGGTCGAGGGGGGACGGGACCCGACCCGGGGGACGAGAAATTCTTTTCTACATCGCAACGGCCGGGTTTTTACCCATTCTGTCCCGCCATCGACCAGGAAATCGTAAAAAACGATGTGACATGCTCATGAATATTACGCGTGGCCTGTTGCATGCATGCATGAGCCTCGAACTGTTTTAATCCATTGCCTCTAAAAAATTGTTTTTATTCTAATTTGATATTATTCTAACAAAAAATATTTAACAAATTACGAATGTGTTTTTATTCTGTTTATACAGTCAATAACAATTTGATAAAACGGAGATATACAATCACGCAAAAGCAACGACCTAGCTTATACTCTTGAGCAGCACAGTCCGACCTCGATCTATGAATTGTCTGCCAAAATCAGAAATAAACAGTTTGTGTTTGATTTTTTAGCAAATAAATGATATGATAATAAAAAATGTTGGTAATATATTTTTACAATCCTGATTAGATTTATATTAAATATACGCAAAAAGTAACAAAAAAAGGTACGTACGTACCATTTATATGGTACGTACGTAGTACATGCAAGGACTTCGACTTTTCTGTACATGCATTAACAAGTGTGTGCGAGGTACGTACATGATAATGCTCAACATGACACACAAAAAGCGCTATTCATCTTCGCGTGTATGTATTCAACGTGTGCGCACGTGTGTTCATGTTCTACATCGCATTGTGCATGTGTACGCCTATAGCGACTTTCGCCAACAATCAAATATAAACAAAGCTTCTTTCATTCAACGTACTAATAGTTATACCTCGACTTGGTGAACCTCTTCTCGATTAAATAAAAGCACCTTAGACTACTCATTAATTGTTCGATAACACAAGTTTATTTTCTGCTTCAAACGCCCGCTTGCAGCTGATTTAAATAAGTAAAATTGTCTTATTACATTACATAACAGATTTCAGATTTCATGCAGCACCTAGACCTACATAATATATTTATAACTAACTCCAAGGAGCTCTGCCGCCGCAAGCGTCGGCAAGTATATAAGTATAAGTATAATCATTTATTGTCCTTTTCAGGAAATGTGTTGTCCACTGGTTACAGAGTATTGCGATACAGATATATAAATGAAATATTACAGGACAGTGATAAACATACACATAATGATAAACATACAATAGATGAGGTAATATATATATGTAAGCCACGGTATATATGGTGGTTAAAGAGGTAATATCAGATTCCATTTTACAAAATATGAAGCTAAATTATTTAATATCAATGATTATTCCATAGTAAATCTTAAAATGATAATAAATACATGAATCATTATTATTGTCATTTGTATTATTATTATTATAATGATTATATATTACCATTTTGAGTAGTATAATTATTACCGGCATCATTTTTATTGTTAAGTTTATTGATGACACATAGATTGTAGTTACTGGCTCAAACGGTAATTGATAGTTGGATGCAATATTCATGGCATATATTTGAAATTTATATTATATTACATTTATATTGATACATTGACATGGTAGGTTCATAGTAATCAAACACGTTTTGCTTTGGAATTGAAAAGATGAATGGAGTCTGGGATAAAGGATCTTCGGAAACGTGCACGTTGAGTTCGTGGTGTGCACAGGCGTATTCCAGATGTGTTATAATTGAAATGCTCATTCAGTGGGTGCGAGGGGTCATGCATTATTTGTTTTACTCTAGAGAGGGCATTTTTCTGATAAAGATCTTCTATGGATGTTAGATCGGCTCCTGTGATACGTTTTGCTGCCTTTCTGGGACGTTCGAGTAGTTTCTTGGCAACAATTTTAGCGTTTGCATAATAGCAAATTAGGTTGAAGGTTAGGACACTCTGGATTAGGGACTTAAAGAACAGTTCTATCAACTTACTATCTACTCTTAAGTTTTTCATTACCCTAATAAAGTATAGTCTCTGGTTGGCTTTCTTTTGGATGTCTACAATGTTCTTAGTCCAATCAAGTGACTTTGAGATAGTAGTACCTAAATACCTGTACTCTGTAACTTGTTCTACAGGAGAATCATTAATCAAAATCGGAGTATGTTCGAAGGGGTTTCGACGAAAATCAATTATGATCTCTTTTGTTTTAGTTACGTTTAGTATAAGGGAATGGTCATTGCACGATTTAACAAACTCATCTATAACCTTAACGTATGGGTCTACATTTTCAGAAAGATAACCTGTGATAACAGTATCATCCGCATATTTGATGATGCTGCACTCTCCTACATTACATAGACAGGC